GCTCCCTGTTTTTATACCCTTGGTTAGGGGCTCAAAAGCGTCCAATAACACAAGCTTTAACACGTCCAATCAACAACAAGCTTTAACAACCAATCAAAAACAGTGGGATTCAAAAATTACCCAACAGGATCACACAAGCAGCAATGGCGCTGGAAACAGGCAGCGTGGCCCGGGGACCATTCCAGCACCTGGTGGTCGCGGCGGCACGTGGGCGGCCCCAGCAGCGTGCCCTCCAACTGGCCACGCGCAGCGCTGGCCCGGGAGACGGCCGGAGCTACAGGAAGGCGGCAAGCGGCCGCGGTCCCAGCCCCTGACATTCTCCGCGTCACCACCGGCACGTCTCCTCGGAGGTATGGAGAGGCAGGGCTGATCCTGCAGCTTCTCCAAAGGCCAGGCTGTCACGCACCCTGTCTGCTTCCAAGAGGACGCCACCTCCCTCCTCCTGTCTAGAGGAAGCACACAGTGAAAGCTGAGACGTCAGGGGCTGGTGGCCTCCACGGTCCTCGGGGGCTGACCCACAAGGCCCTTCATGTCAGGAAGAGCAACGGTAAGGTTGCACGATTTGTTCCCACATGCCGTGGTCTCTGGAAGAGAGCTGCCACATCAAGCGCGTGCCGTAGACCTACAGAATCCAGCGGTAAGGAAACTAATTTGGGCCTTGGACTTTCACCCTTAATCTGTTTGTTAGGAGCGAATGACCAGGCCTGCCCACACTCTGGGCAGCCGGCCCCAGCCTTTTTTTGGCGCGGAGGGACTGGTTTCACAGAAAAGACAATTTTCCCACGCACTGGGCTGGGGCTGGGCTGGGGCTGGGGGTGTGTCGTGGGGTGGGGGGGCGCAGATCAGCCTTAGCAGCCTAGTCCAGTAACGGGCCTCAGCTGGGGGATTGGGGATGCAGCTCTAGAGGAAGGGGTGGCAGGTGGGTGTGACTGTCAGTAGGTGGGTTCCATTGGGGTGGTGTTTTAGGGGCTGGCACAACCAGAAACCTGCCGTCTGCAAGCAACTTAGTCGAAACGGCCCCTCAGGCAAGGCCCGTCAGGCATGATGCTCCGTCCCACCAGGAGGAGGGTTTCCGGGATACCCGGATGGCCCCGAGGCACCCACGGTCGGTGCTAGTTGCAAAGAGAAGACGTAAGTTAGGGAGATGTCTTAGTTCTGTTTCTGCCGCTTATGACCAAATAGCACGAATGGATAAACTTGTGAACGATGGAATTTGTTTTTTCCGGCAACAGTTCCGAGGGCTGGACGTCCAAGATTTCAGGCTTCCGCATTCAGTTGTCTGTGGGGCTGCTCTCTCTGCTTCTGGGACGGTGCCTTGTCGATGTGTCCTCCAGAGGACGCACCGTGACCTTCAGGTGGCAGAAGAGCTGAAGGAGGGTTGCTGTGTGGGCCCCTTTGGTGAGGTGGGATCGGTCCACGAGGCCAGAGCTCATACCACTCTGCTCACCTCCCGAAGGCCCACCTGCTAACGCCGCAGCGCTGGGGACTAAGTTTCAACGTGAAGCTTTGGGGTTGAGGACACCAATATCACACGACAGGGCAAATGGAAGCATCTGGCTGCCCGCCGGTGACCTCGCTCACCAACGGGACATCGGTGCCCTTCCGGGCAGGCCGCAGGGGCACCTGGACCTCCAGGCACCACCTGGGCCACGTTCTCCGAACCCTCAGGCCTCCCAGGCACGGGGACAGGTGAGAGTGGAGCAGGCAGGTGGCACCTGCCAACAGGTGACCCAGGCTCCTGGGAGCAGTCAGTTGGCTTGGGGGGAAGATGGGGGGGCTTGCTGGATGAAGGAAGCTGTTGTAAACGTTAAAGGACGAGAGAGGCAGTCCCCGATGCCCGGGCTGGATTAGATCTTGACCTGAACAAAACAGCAGTGTTAGTTGTCCGGGGGACTTGGTGAAATCGAACGTGGGATTAGTCTCCATGCGTTAGGAAGTTACTGTTGACTAGCTCGGTGTGTAATTGGGTCGTAGTTTTTGTCGGAAAATGTCCTCACTTTTGGAGGATGAATGCTGAGCTTGCTGAGCTTATTTATGCCTTGAGGGATCATGGCACGATGTTTGCAAGCTAAATTACAATTACTGTAAGAACACATTTTTATACAATATGCACATGGATACAGACAGAGAGAGAGAGAAGAGTGCACATGCAAGGTCAGAATGCTTGCCACTGTTTTAGTCCAGGTGGCTGGGGTGTACCAAGTTCCCAGAGAAACAGAACAATAAAATATACAAATACAGTATTATATTCCCATACGTACATATAACACGTACTACACATACAGTATATATCCCATATGTTACATACAACATGTACACATTACAGTTATATAATCCCATATGTACATACAACATGTACACATACAGTATATATTCCCATATGTACATACAACATGTTACACATACAGTATATATCATAGGTACAGTACAAACATTGTACACATACAGTATAATATCTTGTATACACATAAACATGTACACATAAGTATATATCTCATACAATACAATATCACACATACCACAGACAATATATCCCATGTATGCATATCCACCATACACATACATTATATACCATACGTATGGTATCACACATACACAGACATCATTATATCCCGTGCATAGTTATGCACATGTTACCACATACATCCTATATCCGATTACGTGCAATATCACAATGTACACATTCATTATATATTCATACATACATATCACACATACATCATATATCCCATATGTACATATCACACATACACATGCATTATGTCTCATAGATACATATCACATGTACACATGCATTATCACATGTACACATACATCATATATCCCATACTACATATCACACATACACATGCATCATATATCTCACACGTACATATCACACATACATCATATATCCCATATGTACATATCACACATACACATGCATGTATGTCTCATTAGATACATATCACATGTACCCAGCATATCACATTGTACAACATACGATCATTATATCCCATACTACATATTTCACACATACACATTGCATTTATATATCTCATACGTACATATCAACACATACATTATAATCTTCAACACACATATCCCAACAAACCCCCATACAATCATATATCCTCACACGTACATATCACACAATACACATAACATCATATATCTCACACGTACATATCACACATACGTGTGCATTATATATCCCACATGTGCATATCACACGTACACATACATGACATATCCCATGCGTGCGTGTCACACATACACAGATATTATATTAATCACGTCTGAAAGGCCCCTCCACAGCAAGGCCCAGACTGGGGCTTGACCCACAGCGGGCACGCGGCCCGGCTGAGCGGACACGCGGAGCTGGCCGTCGCAGGGGTACCTGCATGCTCACTGCATCCATCGCTGTATTAAAATGTTCTCAGAAAGGCACAGAGCAAGGTGTTTATCGACCAGAAGTCGCCACAATGAGAGGGAAGCCACGAGCCAGGAGACGGTATTTACCACACGCACAGGGACTCCTCCCTGGTGGAGGGAAACGTAGGGACAGATGGTGTCCGCCCACCCCGTAACACACACGAACTTCCCCACAACTCAGCAAGAAAAGGGATGTGGCCCCGTGCGACCAGGGGCCGGGACACAAACAGGCATTTCCCAGAAGGGGACCCAAAAAGAGGGAAGAGAAATCAAAACCGAGAACGGTTTGCGGGAACGTCCGACACCCCGGGCGGGCGGGAGACTCACGCTGGGGGCCGGGCCCCATCCCGCCTTGCACGGCCCGCGGGAGCCGCAGCCCACGGGGGCAGGCCCCGGGACGCCCGGCGGACGCCTGAAACCGTGGGTGGCACGGAACCCCGTAGATGCTAGCAGCACGTTCATTCCTATGCCTGTGGTGACGTCTAATTCATAAACCGGGCACAGCAATAATTGATGGTGACACTGAACAATTATAACAACGTGCTGTAATAAATGCAAATATGATGTCTCTCTCGAAATGTCTTGTTGTGCTCGCCTGTTTTCAGACTGCACACGGGGCGGGCGCTTTCGTGCTGCCCAGCAGAGGGGACCGTGTGCACACGCAGGGAGTCGCCGCCCCCCCCCCCCCGTCTAGTTGCGACCCCCCAGAGCAGAGTTTCTGAACCCGGGAGCCACTGCCCACCAAGGAGGGTCTCGAGTCGGGTGGCCACGTAGCTGCGGCTGCAGTTTCAGGTGTTCCCGGTTGGAGCACGTCAGTACCGGCCTCCACACCTGCGAGCACCCGTGTAGCCCGTGAACGCCTGTTTGCGTTGCCGTGAGGCTAAGTCCGTCCAAACCACGAAGGCGGCCCGCTCGCGCCCGGCTTGTTCCCGCGGGGATTACAGGCACACACTGGCTCTCGGCCATAATTCAGTCCGAATGGACCTGGGCCGCTCCCCGCCGCCCCGCCCATGGGACACTGCGCGGCTGGGACGTGGAGGGAGGAGGTGTCGGCTGCTTGGTAAGAACCGTGTGAGAAGTAGAACCCATGACAATGGAGGCTGGTGTGTCCCGTGCAGATCCTGTCTGGGTGCAAAGAACTCAGGCACGTCCCTCCGTGCGGAAGGGCCAGTTGCTGCACCTTGGGTCCCCTGTGCACAGCACCTCCTGGAGGAAGCAAGACTGCCTTTGGGTGGACGCCGCTACCTGTACCCAGCAGGTGGCCTGCTCTGAGTAGGAGGCCTCAGGCTGCCGGCCTGGCTGTGGGCAGGCTGAGCCACCTGGCTGTTGTGAGCAGGGACTCCAGGTCCCCGGGCGCCGTGGAGTCTGGGCAGGCCATGCCGGACAGGCACGATGCCCGCCGGAGCCTGGGGGGCAGGTGGAGGCTGAGCCCCGGCTGCCAGGCAGCAGGTGTGCCCCGGGCCGGGCAGGCAGGTGCCCTCTGTTTCTAGCCGAGGCTGGGCAACCGGACTCAGACGGGGCTGCTGGAGCCCGTGGCGGGCAGGCGGCTCCTCCTGGCCACCAGCGCCGCCTGGCACAGACACGGGCTAGCACGGGAGCCGCCGTGGGCGCAGACACACGGACTCGGCCTTGCCGGGCCCCCTGTCACCCACGGCAGGAGGCTGGCTCGTCACCGCGCAGCTCTGGGCCCCGGCGTGGGCCCGCGCTGCACGGGGGCCAGTCTCGACCTGGCCACGGGCTGACCGGCGCCTTCCTCCGCGGACAGGGAAGTGGTTTTCTTTCTCGCTGTCCTCGGCGTTCTCTGCCCAGTCTGCTTCCGCCGCTGGGACCGCTTCTGCCGGCGCCGGCCTTTCCTTAGCGACGCCCGTCTCCGTCTGACCCCGTTTGGGGCCAAGGAACCGACCTTACGGCCAAAGGGACCAGGCGCTGGGACGACGCCCTGGGCTCAGCGGGGTGACCCCTGACCCTGTCGCTCAAAAGGAGGGAGCCGGCCCTTGGGGAGGGGCTCTGGCTTCCCAAGACCCCTCAGGGCGGCGGGGGACACTGTCACCCGTGCCGTGTCTTGCAGGACATGACGCCAGGACCTCGTGAGCATAACACAGGTGCAACTCCCGCCGGCCAGACCTTCACCAAGTTTTGCCTCCTGGCCCCGTAGGTCCTGCCGTCCTGGTCTGGACACTTCAGTGATGACGAGGGGACACTTTGACCCGAGGCCAGACACCAGTGTCATCGAGCTGGACGCCGTGGGCGCCACCTGGCCATCGCGGGCTCCTCTGCCATCAGTGAGGCCAAGGCGCTGGCTGGGGCAACAGGGAGTTGCCACCCGCTGTCACACCCAGTCTAGGGGCAAGGGTTCATGGGTGGGGGCCCCGGCGACAGGCCCTGCAAGGACTCGGATCCTTGGCAACCCAGAGCGGCGGTGCGGGCAGGCCCGGGCACGGGCGGCCTCACGACCGGCCGGGGAAGTGAGCGCCCTGCGCTTTTTGCTGAAATTTCTTCTCCCGTGTGGTGCCTGAACCCGGACAGGAGTTAACGACCCTTCCTTCCTGCGCGCTTCCTGCTCCTTTAACACCCGTCTCTCGGGCTGCGGGACAGAGAGGTCCCCGAGGGGGAACGCCCACAGCCGGAGACCCCGAGACCCGCGAGGCTTTGGGGGTGAGGCCTGTCATTTGCACGTGTCGGGGACACTCTTCGTTTCGGAAGCATGTGCGGGAAGGAGTGTGAGTGTCGTTGTCAAGCGGGCGTGGGGGCCGGGCGCGGTGGCTCACGCTGTAATCCCAGCACTCTGGGAGGCGGAGGCGGGCAGATTGCTCAAGGTCAGGAGTTCAAAACCAGCCTGAGCAAGGGCGAGACCCCGTCTCTACTAAAAAACAGAAAGAAATTAATTGGCCAAATAAAAATATAGAAAAAATTAGGCATGGTGGCGCATGCCTGTAGTCCCTGCTACTCGGGAGGCTGAGGCAGGAGGATTGCTTGAGCCCAGGAGTTTGAGGTTGCTGTGAGCTAGGCTGACGCCACGGCACTCACTCTAGCCTGGGCAACAGAGTGAGACTCTGTCTCAAAAAAAAAAAAAAAAGACAGCAGGTGGGCTGTGCCGGGCTGTCATAAGACAGTCCTGACTTGGGGGGACCCGCTGTGGTCCTGGTGGGGGGCAGGGCCGCACCACCCGCTGGGGGAGTTCAGAGGGCTCTGACACCCCTTGGCCTCCGCCTGCTACACCTCGGCCTCGGCCGGGCCAACTCGGTTCCACCCAGGACGTAGGATTTTGAGCGAACTGTGCAGACGTTTAGGGACGGTCAGAGCTAATCGCCATAGGGTGGCTTGAATGTTCAGGGAGAGTGGCTCCGGCAGGCAGAATTTCTAAAATTCTCCCCTTTTCCCCACCAATGTCCTGCCCTGACCCCTGGTTCGCGGCAAATATGGAAAGATTCCTCCTTCGGAACCCCTGACTCGGGCTGCCACGCAGACACCCTGCGGAGCGAGGAGCCGGACACAGGAGGACAAACGCCGTGTGACACCACACATGGGGGCCAGAGCCGTCAAACCCACAGAGACAGACGGTGGGTGGGGGTGGGGAGGGGGCTGGGGCGGGGGAGGGGAGTCAGTGTTCCACGATGGAAAGTTCCGGAGGTGGGTGGTGGTGGTGTTGGCTGCACCAGGATGGGAATGTGCCTTACACCACGGAACCACGCACTGGAGAATGGCAGAGACGGTAAGTTTCGCGTCATGTGTGTTTTGCCAGAATTAAGAAATCGCTCCTCCAGGCAGGGAGATGGTCGGAGCCCGGCGTGGGAGCCCCAGTCCCGCCACCAGGGACAGAGGCGGTCTCCCTCCCTCCCGGCCCTCCCAGGAGCGCCCCCCCCCCAGTCTGGGCCCCACCCCCACCGCCATGTGGGGGGACGGCCCGGGCCCTCCCCTACGGATCCCGGCCGGCCGAGGGCAAGCGGCGGCAGGACAGGGGCCGAAGCAGGGTGTCCGTTGCCCTGGAGCCGCCATGGGCCTCTGCGTCACCAACAGCCCCTGCTCCGGAGGCGGCTCGAGTGGCGTGCCCGTCCTGCAGACGTCGGAAGGCGCCCGGCTCCAGGGGCTGGCAGCCCCGAGCTCTGAGGAGCAGAAGGGAGCGCAAGGCTGTTCCGGAATGTTCTAGAGGGGCCCAGGAGGCTGCTGTAGAATGCAGAGGGGCCAGGCAGGATGGCTGGGCAGGGAAGGGCCCGGATGGCTGGGGCAGAGCGAGCAGTGGGGTGACTGGAGGGGACAGGCAGGGGTGGTGTGGGGGCTTCCTGGCACAGGTCTGGGTCCGCCCTGTGCAGGGGTGCCTTGGGGTCCCCAAGGTGGGGGGACCCCAGAAGCACCCACCCCTCCTTGTTGGTGTTAGTGGAGATGCATTTGTGAGGCCGGGTCTTGGCGGGAGTCAGGGGAGGAAGTAGGGGTCCAGTGTGGGCCACAGAGTGGGGTGCATGCATGCTGGCCTGGATGCTTCCCAGCTGCACCCCCGGACAGCCCCCCACAGTGCTTCCTCTAGAGCACCCGCCTGGCAGACGCCTCCCGGGGGGCCGGGGCCCTGGGGCGAGGGTGGGGCGAGGGTGGGGCGAGAGTGGGGCGGGCAGGGGCCTACCGTGCGGCCGGGGCGTATTTGCCTTTGCGGTCCAAGCTGTGGCCGGAGCGGACGGCAAACCAGAGGAAGGCGCTGAGCAGCAAGGCGCACGCCTGGGGGCGGGAGGGAGGCGCTGGGCGGCAAGGCGCACGCCTGGGGGCCGGAGGGAGGCGCTGGACGGCAAGGCGCAACCCTGGGGGCGGGAGGGAGGCGCTGGACGGCAAGGCGCACACCTGGAGGGGACAGGTCACCCCAGGCACCAGCACCTGCACCGGCTGATCGGGGAGGGGATCCCCACCTCCCAGGGTGTCGGGGTGTCAGGCAGGGGCAGGAGGCAGGCAGGGGCACCCCCAGCCCACCTCCCTGGGCACCGGGGACCAGCCACGCTCAGGGCTGGGGTGAGGGAAGGGGTGAGGCGTACCGTGAGGGCCAGGCCGATGCCGCTCAGGGTGGAGAGGACTCTCCGGTACGGCCGCAGGTGGCTGCGGATGCCCTGCAGGCAGTCCTGGGGGGGCGGCAGGCATGGCACCCACCCCGACCAGCCTCCCCGCCCCCGCTCAGGCCAGTGGGGCCAGTGCCAGGGCCATGGGAAGAGGGGGTGCAGCACATTCCCAGGGGAACCCCCCAGGGCTCTGGGGAAAAGGCCACACCCAGTGGATGACACTGGCCTCCGTGGGGGCCCCGGGGGCTACTGCCCCCCACGGCCGCCCTCAGCTCTAGTATTGGGGTATTGGGCCGCATGTCTGGCTCCGCGGCGAGAGGGTCTGACTCACTCTGGTCCCAGCACCCAGCCCACGGACCAGAGGGTGCTGGCTGGCAGGGAGAGCAGGCGGAGGGTGTGGGGTGCCCCCACTGTCCTGGTTCCTGGCCCCATCCTGGGCTTCCAACGCTACCCCAGGGCCTGCGTCCGCGGGGAGCTGACGGCGTCTCTGAACCGCCCAGACGCCGACATTTAGTTTGGGGCAGGACTCTGGCATTCGGGGCAGTGTTTCCAGGACAGATCACCGTGTGTCCTAGGCTCCATGGTCTCCCCGTCCTCCCCGCCCCCCCGCAGGGCAGGCCTTCCTCCTGCCCAGCTGGCCCGCCCACCCAGGCAGTCCTCGGTCTGTGCCCGCCCCCGCCGTGTCCCCGCCATCTCGGGGTGCCCAAGGCAAGCCCGCACCCCTGTTTGCAGCTGGGGCCCTGGAGACCCTCCTTGTGAGGAGCAGGGTCCCCAACTCTCAGCCCCGCCCGGGCGCTGCTGGGCCCTGCTTTGTGCTGTCCCTGGCAGCCTCGAGCTGCACCAGCCCCGCCCCTTGCAGGCCCGAGCCGCCCCATCCTCCTCGTCTGTTCCTTGGAGGGCTGCCAGGCCCTCCTGCCAGGACAGGGGGTGGGTTGTTTCCAGGACGGCAGGCAGGGAGGGGCAGAGTGGGAGGGGGCATGGCGGCCAGGGAAGGCGTGTGGGGGGGGTGTCCAGTCCAGGCCTCAGGGAGGAAGGGCTTCCCTGCCTCTGGCCCCACCCCGCAGCCCATCATGGAGGTCTTGTAGCCACACCCGTCCCTGGCGACCCTCCAGCCTCAGTTCCCTTCCAGCTGCCTCTGGGGCCTGTGCCTCCCCCCTAGACCGAGCCGACCACCCTCGCTCTGTGGGCCCCCCTTTGCACTGAGGCCTAATCCGTGTGCTTCTAGAAGCTTCCGTGGGCCAGGTCTCCACTGGCCTTGGGCAGCCCCACCCGGAGGGGGTGACTCAGGGAGTGGAGCCCGGGGCCCGCGTCCGGCTTGGGGAAGGGCCTGGCCTGCCGAGCCCAGCCTGGCCGCCCGGCGGGTTCTGTGCGTGGCGAAGCCTTCACTGCCGCCCCCGATCCCACCGGAACCTTCCCTGAGCCCTTCGGCGGGCGGGCCCCCAGGGTCCAGGGAGGCCCACGGGTGGGAGGATGTCCCTGAGTCTCGGGGTGGGGCCCCACAGTGTCCGCCCCCAGGGACTGTCCCGCCAGCGTCCGGATGCCCCCACCCCACTTCTCACCTGTCTTGCGGCCGCCTCTCCCTGGCACAGGCCGGCCTCCGAGCGCCCCAGGAGGCCGAAAGGAGACCTCTTCCCGCAGCACAGGAACTGGGGGGCAGACGGGAGGGAGCACGACTCGCTCTGGCAACCCCGGGAGACGGGTGGGACTGATGGGGAAACTGAGGCGCCACAAGGATTAATGGCCTAGGTGGAGGCCAGGGCTGGGGCTCGGGGTGTGGCCGCTGCCTCTGCAGGGGGTGCCAGCCACCGGGCAGCCGGGCGGAGATACCCACTCACGGAGGATGCCCGCGGGCCGGGGGCTGGCGGTCCCTGGGGAAGGGCGTGTGCTTGCTCTAACTCTCAGCCGCCCACCTGGAAGTCCTCCCTGGTGTCTGACCGAGGGCCCTGTTGTCTTCCCACCGTGCCCCGTGGCCGGCCCTGCTGGGGCAGAGGCAGAAGGACGGCGCTCTCCGCCCCCGGCCCCGAGGGGCGGCGTGTTCCGCGCTTTGAGAAGCTCCTCCGGCCGGGCCGGGCCACTCACTCCAGGGCCATCCCGCGCCCATTCTCTGGATCCCGCCCACGCAGCAAGGCTGACCTGTGAGGGGAAGGCCAGCCCCCATGCTCACCGCGTCCTGGATGGCCGCTAGCTCCCGCTGCCGGGCGCGGGTCGCGGTCCTCAGGGCCCGGTCGTACAGCAGGTCGTAGGTGTCCAGCACGGCGTCCTCCACCTGCACCAAGAGTGGCACGGGGGGTCGGCGCTGGCGGGAGGCGCAGTGCCGCGTGGTCCCTGTGCCCCCGCCCCAGGCGGAGCCCCTGAGCGCGGAGCCCTGGCCCCTGGCGCCGGCCGCGCCCCTGCCGCAGCGGTGAGTGCGGCCCCTGCTGCCCAGGCGCTCCTGCGGGACAAGGCAGAGACTTGCAGGGGTGTGGAGGGGGCGCCCTGCCGCCGTCCCCCCAGAAATGGGTGATGGGGCTGGGCCGGGGCCAGGACTTCAGCTCCCCCAAAGCCGGGGGGGTTCTAGATCTTTCCCCAGAGTAACCAGCTGCACCCCTGAAAACCCAGGCAGCTATACTCGGGGTCAGGCCTTTGACCAGGGGCGTTTTGGACAACTGAGTCAGATCCAGGCGGATGGAGCCACTTGGGGGCAGGAGATAGAGGAGGAAGATGGGGACCCTGGCCCGCCACACTCTACCTTTTCTCCATAGCCCAGCCTCACTGGGACTGCACACCTCTGCCCCCAACCACCCTGCAGTGCCTTTGCTGTGCCACCCCACTCAAATGCCCACCCCCTGCCGAGAGTTACTCCTGCAGAGACACACTGGACTCTCACCTCCTCCAGGAAGGCTTCCCTGACTGCCCCAGGAGGTGCTGGTCTCCTGGCACAGGGCAAGGCCCTCTTAGAGCTCCCGCTGTTGCCTCCCTCCGACCCCCAAGCAGTGCAGGCAGCCAGGACCCCCTCAGGGGCTGTCCCCAAGGGCCACGTGGGAGACCTATGCCTGCTCCGCCACTCACACCTGCCCTCCAGAAAGGGGGCGGTGGACAGGCTCCAGCCAGCTCCGTCCAAGCCCAGATGTCCCGACAAGCTGTGCGGGCTTCCCGTGCCGAGCACGGCTCCTACAATAATGAATCCCTCGCTTCTGACGGCTAAGAAAGTCGGACGTGTCTCCGTCAGCCAGCCTCTGTGCCCGCCGCCGGGCAGAGGGACCAGCGCCAAGCTGGCCACAGCCACCATTGTGCCCAGGCCGGGCCCTCCCAGCTCAGCTTCCTTGAGGGGAGCTGGCCTGGCACGCATCCTCCTGGGGGTCCCGGGGAGGCTGGGGGTCCTAGAGAAGCCGGGCCAGGGCTGGCACGGGACCCCCACCCCTGCCAGCCCCTGCCGTGGCGCAGGGCGGACCGAGGTCCCCAGGGCTGTGGGCAAGCTGTCCTGTTGTCCGTGGCCTCAGCAGGAGTGGCCCTGCTAGCGGCAGAGGGTCCGCCCTGCCCAGCTCCCCACGGCCAGGCCCATCTGCCCCAAACCCCACAGCCTGGCCTGGGGGCTCCTGGGGGTGCTGGGGCTCCTGGGGGTGCTGGGGGGCCAGGCCTGCAGGTGATGCTTCCCCGCCCGCCTGTGTCCGGGTTCAGGGCTGTGGGAGGCTGAGGCCGGTTTCTCCCGAGGACGGGGGCGCCGGGGGCTGCCTGTTCGGCACTGAGGCTCTGAGCTTCACCAGTGCCCAGGGTGCCAGGGCTCACTGGTGCCGGGTCTCCAGTGCCCAAGGCCGGGCCGTCCCCGGGGAGCTGCCTGGACTAGGGGACTCCCTGTGCTCAGCATGGCACAGGCGGGCCCTGGGAGGCCCTGTGGGTGGCTGGTCTCTGTCCTGAGCCCGCAGGATGGCGGGCTGTCATCCAGCTCCAGACTGCGCCTGTCACCTCTCCCCCCACGCGGTGTGTAATCGGGCATGAATTATTCAGGGCAGCCGGGCGATCCATTTTCCCGATGCTGCCGTGTCTGGGGACGGAGGTTTGTGGCGGAGTGGCTCTCAGGCCGCAGGGAGAGCGTAATTAATAGCCCTCCAACCCCGGGTCAATCGCAGCCCGCGCCCGCCCTCCCGATCCTGAGTGGCAGCTGGGAAATCTCCTGAGCGGGGCTCCCCGGCAGGGTGGGGGGGACCCCAGTCTCGCCCGGGCTGGGGTCTGAGGCCACAGGGGTGGGGGGACGGCCTTCCCTTCCCCGCCGGCCTCAGCGCTGTACCCCGGCGAGTGGTCAGGGTCTCTCACGGGGTTGTGGAGGGAAACTGGGGCCCCCAGACCGCCCCTCCGGCTTCAGCACAGGCAGTTCTGGCCCCTGGGAGCCCGGGGCTGGAGCCTGCCTGGCTCTGGGGCCCTGGCTGGGGGGCACGAGGGGGTGTGCAGCCCCCACGCCCTGGGACCAGGTGCTCGCATCCAAGCTCGCGACAGCTCCAGAGTAGTCCCAGCTCACGGCGCCGACCCGGGGTGGGGTCCGAGGAAGCCTCCCCCCCACTGGCTCCCTCCCACCCTGCAGCCCCCCACCTCCCCCCAGGCAGGGATCCACGGCCTCTCTCAGAGATGAGGAAACTGAGGCCCAGGAAGGCTGAGCGACTTGCCCAAGGGAGCCCCGGAGAGGAGCCCCGACTTCGCCCCAGGCCCGGCCGCGCACACGCATCACGCCGGAAGTGAGGACCCACCGAGGGCCGATGGCAGCCCCGACGCCCCCCTGGGTCAGCCAGGACCTGGGAACCGACCCCCAAGGCCTGCGGGAGTGCTGGGGTGACGAGGACGCTGTGAGGGTGCCTGGGCTGGGACGGGGCCGGGGAGGGGCCTGGCGGGGTCCTGCTGCTCAGCCCCTTCCCCTCCCGGACAGCGGCTCCGTCCTGGGGCCCCTGGCGGCCCCCTCCCTCTGGAACCGTGGGTCCTGGGCTCAGAGTGAACACAGGGAGTGTTGGGGTGCGGGGAGAGGCCCGGACCAGCCCAGGGTACCCTGGCCACTGTCTTCACCTCGGCGACCCAGACCTCGAATGGCCCAGACCACCCCGTGTGGACAGGACAGGTGAGGCCCAAATGCTGACCCAGCCGGCTTGCCCCCCTCGAGACCGCTGGACCACCCCCCACAGCCACAGCCATCTTGCGGGGCCCTGGCCCCTCCAGGACCCTCTTGGCCACAGGAAACGGTCTTTGTCCCATCTGGTGTCGGCGGGTGACCCCCAAGCGAGGCTGGGGTGGGTGGGCCTTTGGGGCAGGGCTCGGGCAGGGAAGGGAGAAGAGGTGGTGGCCCCGGGCACCGGGCCGGTCACCTGGGAGCTGCTGACCCTTTCCCACCACCCACCCCTCTGGCCTCTCTGCAGCCCGGCACCCCTGCGCCCAGGCAGAGACCCCCACACCCAGGCAGAGACCCCCACACTCAGGCAGACACTCCCACACCCAGGCAGAGACCCCCACGCCCAGGCAGAGACCCCCACGCCCAGGCAGACACCCCCACACCCAGGCAGACACTCCCACACCCATGCAGGAGAGCCCACGCCCAGGCAGAGACACCCAGCGCCCAGTTAGACACTCCCACGCCCAGGCGGAACTCCCACACCAGGCGACACTCCCACACCCAGGCGCACTCCCACGGCCCAGGCAGAGACCCCCACACCAGGCAACACTCCACACCCAGGGCAGAACCCACATCCCAGGCAGACACTCCAACCCAGCAGACACTCCCACGCCAGGCAGAGACCCCCGCACACCAGGCAGACACTCCCTCGCCCAGGTAGAGACCCCCGCGCCCAGGTAGAGACCCCTGCGCCCAGGCAGAGACCCCCACACCCAGGCAGAGACCCCCATGTGCAGGCAGAGACTCTCGCACCCAGGCAGAGACGCCAAGCCCAGGCACAGACCCCCACACCCAGGCACAGATTGCCCCACGTGGTGGCTGCCCCCCACCATCGCCCCAAGCATGGACCCTAGCGGCTGCCCTGTGTCTGCCCCCTGCGTGGGGCCCCCCAGTGCAGGACGGGGACGACTGGCACTCACCTGGGTGGAGTTGCGGGACCCCCAGAAGGCCACCTGCACCAGGACGCAGAAGCCCAGGGCGAAGCTCAGGAAGGCCTGTGGGGGGTGCAGGGGAGGGGAGGCGGGTCACTGCGTGTGGCAGGGCCACACCCCTGCCAGGAGGGCAGTCACCCTGGGGACGGAGCCCCCGCCCACTGGGCTGCTTCCAGTGCAGACACTGACCCAGGGAGCACCAAGCAGGGCCTCTCCCCTGTGCCCAGAACCCTTCTGGGAGAAGAAACCCCCACATCTGCAAGGCGAGGACACGGAGGTGGCTCCATTTGGTTTAATTTTTGGAGCAGACCCCGACCTGGGGCGCAGGTGGAGCCAGCGTGACCCCCGTCATGGTCAGTTCCCCACCTTCCCTCCGCAGCCCTGCTGGGCCCTCACTCCTGCCGACAACCCGTGCCCGGTGCTGGGTCAGGAGTTCCCCGGCGGGGATGTCCCCGCACACGCCCACACGCAAGCCGGGGTCCCGCTCCTGAGACCCCCTTGCAGAGGCGCAGGAACTTTACACACGTGCCCCCCAACACACGCTGTGGACCATCTCAGAGGGTCACCCCAGATGAAGGGCCCTGGGGACATCCTCCTGCCTTGGTTTCATCTGCCACCTGCGTGCTGGGGACCCCAGGATATGGGTGTCCCCTGCATCTCTTGCCAGAGCCCCGGGTGGTCACTCTGGCCCTGGCCACACGCCCCCACCGTCGCCCTGCCCTCCCCGAGAGCTCCAGGCGTTTCACATGATGTGGCCGGCAAGTGTCCCCCCGGACTGTCCACAGACTAGCCGGTTTGTAAGCGGATTCTCCCAACCCAGGGACCTAACTCGGGGTGACACCCAGGAGAATGGATGGCCGACAGGGGACAGGGAGATGCCTGTGGACACAGAGGGGCCCACAGACACCGGCTGGGACAGGCTGGGACTGAGAAACAGTCCTCGCTGGGGAAGCTGAGCAAGAGGTGTGTCGGGAAGCCAGGCCCTCCCCAGTCCCCGCAGGGCTCTCCCGTGTCCCTACCTGTTTGGGGGATGCCTGAGGGCTGCCTTCTCCTCCCCTTCCTCCTCTTCTCTCTCCTCCCTACTTCCCTCCTCCCTCCCTCTCCCTCCTCTTTCCTTCTCTCCCCCTCCTCGCTCGCCCGCTGCTCTCCTCTCTCCTCGCCCCTTCCTCTTGCTCCCTTCCCCTCCCCGCTCCTCCGGGTCCCTGGCCTCTCTTCTGGCTTTCCGCTACTTCCCTTCTCGTTCCCCTTGCCTGGCGGTTGCCTCCTTTCGTTTTTCCCCTCTCCCTCCTTGTGTGCTGCGTCGTCCCCGAGCGCCGCCCCTCCGTTCGCCGATCCTCCTCGTCCGTTCCTTCTCCCCGTTCCTCCGCCCGCTGCTGGGCGTTCGTCCTTTGCCTCCTCCCCCTCTCCTGCCTCCTCCCCTCTTTCCTCGCTCCTCCCCCGTCTTCCTCCTCCTCCCTCCTCCCTGCCTCCTCCTCCCTTCCTCCTCTCCTCCCCTCCTCCTCCTGGCCCTCCCCCTTCCTCCGTCCCCTCCTCCTCCCCGTGCTCCTCTCCCCTCCCTCGCTCCTTGCCCTCCTCCTCCGTGGCCCCAGCTCTCCTTCTCCTCTCCCCCCTTCCTGCTCCTCCTTCTCCCTGCCTTCCTGCTCTCCTCCCCTTCTTCCTTCCATTCCTCCTCTTCCTCCTCCTCCTCTTCCTCTTCCTCCCCTCCTCCCCTGCCCCCTCCCGCCTCCCCCTTCTCCTGGCCCTCCCCGCTGGCCTGGGCCACCGCGCTTCCCCCATCTGGAAGCCATCACTCAGCGCTGCCTCCCAGGCTGAGGCCCCTCACCAGCTCCAGAAGACCAGCATTTTCCAGAAACCAGTGTTCATTCCTCAGGTCAGGGAGGAAGGAGAAGCATCCCTGGCCTGCCCCACCCCCGGCCCCATCTCGCCCTGCCTAGGCGTCCCTGCAGGGGACAGCGACCCCAGGCCTCCGCAAGGTCTCCACTGTGTCTACACTGAAATAATCTAAACAGGACACACAAAACACAAAAGGAAGGGGAGCTCCACTTTCTCCCAGCCCCAGGCCAGCTCCCCAGTTTCCTGTGCCGAGGCGACGCCGGGCTGGAGGAGGCCGGGGAGGGGGAAGTGGGCAGGAAGGGGCGGCGGTGGGGGCGCGGCACGTGGCGCCATGGCGATGTGGGGAGAAAATCTTTCCACCCCCTGCTGCCACCCTGCGGCCCTCCATGGTACACACCGCTACACACACTCGGGGACAGGCCAGGCCAACACGCATGCCACACCAGCGCGGCCACAGGAACAGGCGGTGAAAGGACAAGCCACATGGACACGACACAATGCGATGCCACATGCCATGCGACACACGCACAATGCATGCAGATCACATTGCACGACACACATAAACACGGTGCGCAGCACGCACACGACACATTGCACACCCACACACAGTTGTGCAGCCGCTTAGCGGAGCAGGCATCTGTGGTTGGGGGTCTCCAGGCCGCGGCCGCGGTGGGCTTGCTGCTGGGGCCTCACCGATCAGGGCTGACCAAAGGCGGGCATGGGGGTGCAGGGGGGAGGGCGTGCCAGGAAAGCCAGCCATCTGGACCTGGAGCAGCCCTCGGGCTACCCCAGGCCCTGCACAGGTGTCCAGCTGGGGGCTCCCCAGGCTGCCTCCAGAGGGCCCCAAACCTGCCATAACGAGGGGTTCACCTGGCCCCTGAGAGCTGGGCGGCGACACAGAATCAGACTCGCCTGGGCCACAGATCAGGCGTGTGGGAGCTGACTTGTGCCCGGGGCAGGGGTGGACTGAGACAGGGACGGAGGAGCCGGGGCCCAGCGCCATCTCCAAAGCTGCTTCCCTGCCCGTGGCCTCAAAGGCCCAGCTCCACGGGCGGCCCCTGGTGGCCAGTGCTGCAGGGCCCTGGGTGCAGTTCTCTATCCAGGCCGCCCGGAGCCCTTGCCTGGCCCTTGCTGCCGCCTGGTCTGTCCAGGGGTGCTCCCTTCGCAGGCCACACTCCTATCTTGGGGGACAGGCCATTGTCTACCCTGTCCTCTCCCCAGGGGGTGGGGCGTCCTACCCAGCCCTTGAAGCCACACTGCAGTTAGGCGGGGCTTCAGTGCCCACCCAGGCAGGGCAGGGTCCGCTGCTCACGCCCATCTCTTCTCGTTTT